GCAAGCCCGCATGAATTGGCAAGGCTCGAAGCTGCTGCGACACTTTCTACAGTTCCTCTTCATCATGATTGCCTGGTATACGGCGCTGAGTCGTGTCTCCGACTACAAGCATCATTGGTCGGATGTTCTGGCTGGCTCAGCAATCGGAGCTGCCTGTGCGGTGATTGTGGTAAGTTCCTTTCCCTTCTACTCCTCTACTTCTATCATTTCACAGACTGTATCTAGCTAGTCTTACACACACGTCTCACTTGATCATCTTTTCTAGAGCTACTTTATGCCCAAAGCGTGTTTCAACATGCAATCAGTTTGGCCCACCAAAGAAGCTAAGAGCCAGTGAACAGAGAGAATGACAGAGAGAGAAAGACAGAAATAGCTTTTCTTCGGCTTAATTTCTAAGCTTTTGTACTGTCAAGATTCTTAGCTATTAAAATAACATTAATTGACATACAAATACACACACACATAGTGGCGTTTCCTTTGAGTCGGCTTTATGTTAGAAGTGCACCATAAGCACGAGATATTCGTGCAACTAATTGGCTCGCTCTCAACACCTGCTGCAATGGGGTGTGTGGCATGCGAGTGAATGTGGCAGACCCATTCACTTCACAAATTGATCAGCTGCGGCTACAAACATACATATGTACTTCAGCATGTAAATATATAGATCAGCAATTTTACGCTTCATTTGGTTTATTGGACGTGACTCGCGTCCCTTGGACAACTATTTCTCACCTAAAAGAAACATACCATACTTTTAGGAGCCATCTGTATAGCCTTCTATGCAGACTTTTACTATGAATTTAATATCCATAACACATTTGTATCTTTTCTTTCAGGCTAACTACGTTTCTGATCTGTTTCCCTCAAAACCGAATGCGAAGTCCTATCTGCCGCGTAACTCACAAGATGTCAGTCAAACGCATTCAACGGTTGTCGTCACAACGAATTAGCCTGCAGTTGACATTAATAATGATTTTAGCAATCGTTTAGGACACAAATTCCATAATTTATAAGCGAAATATCAAGGATCTGTCAAATTGTATTTCTTGTTAAACATTTTAAAACAACGCAAAAGCAAAGCTTTCGTTCGATTTTATTTCGATTTTAATGTAAACAAATTTTGTATTTAATATTACTCCACTCGACAGGTAGTGCATTACTTAACTATGTACGTACAACTTAATGTATTAGTCTGAGATATAAGCGTTTGCTGATTCGCAAAGATTATATTCACTAAAGTGACCTTAAGATTATATAAAATTCGATTTGCAGTTTCGCGAATCGTCAATAAGTATTATGTTAAAATGAGTCTTTAGTTTTTTATTAAAACACTTGAATACAACAAAAGAAAAATGTAATTTATTTCTAAGAAATGTTAATAATAAGCCTGTTCAAATAAAAAATATTTTATAAATTTTATCATTGTTTTGAATATGCCGCTTTTACTTTTTGGGATTATTTAGTGACATTTATCACAGTATACTTTTTGAAAACATACTCCACTTTCGATAACAAAATACTACTGCTGTTTTTCATTAACATCGATAGTTCTACAGATAACAATGCCGGACCCAAAATTTTTATTAATCGATAGTTAGCTTGCATCTTTGGCAATTATTGTAATCTAAACAAAACCGGCTTGTTTTTTGGAAATAAAAAGTAAATATTAGATATATCTCATGTTTAAGGAGCACAGTTGTTGGTTATTATTGTATAAAAAATATAATGACAATGATTTGGCTTGGGTGTTGTGCGCATATTCTTAAGAAGAACACTCCCTTGAAACATGACGTGTCACCAGAGGCCTAAAGAATAATCCGAATATTTTCTGCTTGCAGAAGCCCCGTATCAAAATGATAACTGACGTGCAATTGGCAATTTTCTCAAATGTCCTGGGAGTATTTCTGTTTCTGCTCGTTGTTGCTTACCACTACATCAACGCCAATACGGGAAAGTGAGTAGAAAACTAAAAAGATGTGACCCGACAAGCAATTCAATTACTTTTATTCTTAATTTTCAGGTCTAGTATTAAAAACAAATGATCTTTAAGGTTTCCACAAGTTAATTAATACAAGTATCTTATAAAACCAACTTCAAATAATAAAATGGTATAATAAAACTTAGTCCATATCGTCCAGCGCTTCCTTCATTGCCCGCACATCTAGCAACGCCTTATCCTTGCGTGAATTGAAAGTGCGCTGCGTTGGGTGACCGAAACTGAAAGCCTTGATATATGGAAGTTTTTCATTGCTCAAGTCCGCAGCCATATTTACGTCCTTATCCACATCCATAGCATTAGTTGCTTTCTTTGTACAACTTTTTGCTTTATTGGGAGCCTTTCCTTGATCAAAGCGATAGTTCGCCGGGAATTTGTGTACTTTAATGCAATGATCCTTTCGATCGGCAGGCTGAAAGAACTTTAATGGACATTCTTCGATGTAACAGGTGTAGTGGGGTTTGTCGCCTCGCTCGACGCTGGCTGCGAAGTACAAATCATGCTGCTCGGTTATGTGAAGATCCAACAGGTGGGGAGTTGGCAATTGCCGCCGACATTGTATGCAGCTGTAGTACTGCGACTGTGTTGTCTTCGTGTTCACATTTTTCCAAATCGGAATCTTTGCTTCAGCTTCTTCAATATCTTCGAGGTCAATGAGTACACCAAGCTTCTTAAATGGAGGCAAAATTGACGCAATCTTGTTCCCTTCTGTGGACGTTATAAAACCAACGGATAGATTATCTAATATCTTTTGCAATTGGTCTTTTGCGAGTAAAACCCCGGAAGATATTTCCGAATTCATTACGCGTTTGCTTTTAAACCAAATGACTTATTTATATCGATGAAGGAAAACAAATAGGAACATATCAACTATCGCATATTTGATAGCCTATCGAAATATAAAGAGTATTTGAGAAAATTATATATATCGAATCGAAATTTTTATGCCAATATCGATTGTCGATATTTCTTTGTTTTTATTGACTAAACATATGCGCTGTGGAATAATAAAAAAGAGTTGGAAATATGTCCGCTGTTAGCGATTCTGCGGGTGCAGAAAACTGCTTTGATATTGAAAAAGTCTCAGATTTATTTGAAGGTAGCTTAATAGACGATGATGATGTACGCATGGAAGATTATTTGGAAGCGTATGAGGAGATAATGAAGTAAGTAAAATAAGATCATCTTGTCAACAACAAACTTAAATTGATTTCTGCCTCAGGTTCTTCTTGCTGATGGGCAGCGTGTTTACCTTTGTAAGTAGCGACGTGCGAAATAAACTGGATATACTGTATGATCTACGACAGCAGGACAACGAAGAAAACAAACACTTCGATAGTATTAAGACAATGCTGCTATATGAGAAAGGAGCCAGCCTTCTGCATCAAAAAGGCTACGTGTCTGGCAGTCGGACCTTATTGCGTCTGCATCGTGGCCTAGGTACTACTCTGTGAAACAGATAACGGATGATTATCTTATCTATGTATGTACGTTCGTTCGTTGCAGAGTTTGTGTACGAGTTTCTGCTTCGACTGCAAGACGTGGCAGATGAGGAGAAGGCGCACCATATCTGCAAATCAGCTTACAATGATACCCTGGCCAAGCACCATCCTTTCCTCATACGTAAAGGCGCTCAAGTAGCCATGTTTGCAATACCCACGCGTGGCGAACTCTTCAAGCGCGTCTGCAACGATGCGAATGTGTCGAACGCCATTCAAAGGCTGCCTGATATGTTGCGGAATATGCAAAATGTCTACAATCGCACGGATCAGCTTTTTACGCTTGAGGAGCTCCATAGCCTGCCTTAGAGCTGTCACTGAATAGGTCATTATAGAAATTGTAGCGTAATATGGAGCCCATTAGCTATTCTCTGTCTTATTGCGTGGTCCATTCCGATATTAGCGTCGTTGCTTGTATTTATTGAATCTGTTCGTCTTTGTCTAATTAAAGCTTTAGCATTCGACTAAGGAATATCTCTCATCTATATTTATCGTATAGTTAACTTATCTGTGACGAAATTTACAATGGACATAGTCTAGCCGCTATTTGATTAGATTATACAGCCTCGAACCGCGGTCGTAGAACGTTGCCCTTGATAGCCCAATTAAAGCTAATCAGGATTTATCATTTCAGAGACAGTAAGCCGAATTAGTTAAAATCTCAAAGATTTACAAGTCTTAGTTATAATTTAACTGCAATCTGCAATTATGCATTTAATGGCGTGCAATGACGCACACAAATGGCCGACAATTTCCTGTCCTGTTTCGCTATTGATTACTCAATGTACCCACATCTATTAGCCAAATAATTTTAGTCCAATTAGCCAACTAGCCTCCATTATTTCTTATCAGTCGTTTGTGTTGTGCCTTGTGCAAAAAGTGTGTTATGATGACGACTTAATCAACCACTTCAAGCAAACACCAAAATTATTTATAAAACGGCCTGAACGGGGGCTACGAACGCATTTGAAAACTGTCTGCCACAGACATAAGTAGATTTTGTAAACTTTCGTGAATGGGGCGCTATGAATAATCTATCAAATAGTAAACGCGAGCCAAATCCCTATCTAAAGGCAAATATATTCTCGAAATGGTTTTTTCTGTGAGTTTAATATTCAAAATAATGAATATAAATATTTTAAATAGTATGCCAATTAAATTTTCAACAATACTGATACATTACAAATATTTATTATAATAATTACAACAATAATGATTATACAATATTAAAAATACCCGTACAAATAATTTAATAAATAAATGAGACGCAAAAATTAAATCAGTTTTGTTCGTTCTCGATTTCATATTGATTGAGAAATAAAGTCCATTTAAGCTCCATATCTTAGACATGTCTTGATAATGTGTACGACCAAATATTCCCTGTGCATTCGCTTTCGTTTATCACTGATTGGTAATTTAAGAGATCCGTAGAGCATTGTCTGCCTGGCAGCACGTAGTTCCAATTAACTGTCAATTTAAGACTGATTGCTGTTTTCATCACTTAGATGGATGCGCCATGTATTTCGGCAAGGCCGACGAGAAGAGCTCTCGGAAAACGGTCTATACGCAAATTTACACTATTTCGATAGTGCCAAATTGACGGAGGATTTGCAACAGCCATGGATACGTGAATCTCAACGCAAACAACCAAGTTCGTTGCATCTGATCTTTGCCCATTATGGATGGCAGTTTGTGCCTGCCTGCGTGATCTATTCAATTCTGGAGATAGTTATACAGTAAGTACATGAATATAAGCATATTGAAATCTTAGTACCCGTCCTCTGAGTTATCCTGAGCCTGCAGCTAGAATACAAATGGTTGCATTTCTCTCAAATACTCTTTGCATTGTTTCTTTGCAGTGCCTTTCAGCCACTCTTTTTGGGTGGCTTGATCTCCTACTTTGCCGAGGGGCAAACGAGCATTAGCAAGGAAAGCGCCTATCTGTATGCGATGGGCATTGTGCTGTGCGCGCTGATCACGTCACTGGTATTTCATCCATTTATGTTTTACGTCTTCGCCGTGGGCACAAGGATTCGTGTGGCCTTTGCTGGACTGATATACAGGAAGTGTTTGCGTGCAGCGATCAATGGCCGGGATGGACTTGGCGCTCTGGCGATATCAGTGATGTCCATCGATTTGCCACAGTTCGATCTGACATTCTACTTCTTTCATGACTTGTGGAAGGGACCCGTGGAGGCGTGCCTCTTTGGCTACATCATGTACACTGAGATTAACTGGACGGCTTTGATAGGCATTGCCTTCATAGTGCTGTTGATTCCACTTCAAGCGTGGGCTGCCAAAGCGGCAGCCAAATTTCGCACCAGATCAGCGGATCAACGGGATCGCCGTGTGAAGCTGATGAACGAGATTATAAGTGCCATGCAGGTGATCAAAATGTATGCATGGGAGCAGTCTTTTGCAAAGCTGATAGCCAAAGTGCGTAAGATGGAGGTTAAAGCCATCCGAGGTTCCGTTAGCATATATGCGGCGCTGCAGTGCACCAACATGATATCGAAAGTGTCTTTGTTCCTAAGTCTCATTGCCTATGTGTATACTGGTGAAGCGGTTACGGCCAGAAAGGTGTTTATACTCTCGTCCTACTACAGCTTGCTGAATGATTCGCTGATGCACTTTTGGCCCTTGGCAATTACCACCTGGGCGCAGACTGTAGTTAGCGCAAGGCGAGTGACGGAGTTCCTACAGCAATCTGAATCGCCCACCAACGAGAACTGCTCCTCCAACTGTAGAGACAATCCCACCCTACAATTGGATTTCAAAAAGGCACCTGCAAAGCCTCTCTCTGTGGGTCGATTGCACTGCATAGAGAGCAAGGAAAAGTCCATCACTTTTAGCCAGGTTACCGCCAGCTGGAACAAGCCAAGCGTTAGGCAGGCACGAACTGCGCACATTGAGGACATCAGCTTTAAGCTTCTTCAAACACAATTGGTGGGCATTGTCGGCAACGTGGGCTCTGGCAAGAGTACGCTCCTAAACGTCATCTTAGGCGAAGTGGAGCTCATGCAGGGTCGCATTGAAGTGCATGGCAAGTTGAGCTATGCCCCACAGGAGCCCTGGATCTTCCAGGCCAGCATACGTGACAATATTGTGTTTGTGGAGCCATACGAGGAGCAGCGGTATCGAGCTGTTGTGCATGCCTGCCAGCTGGACTGTGATCTAGCTATGCTGCCCCACGGTGATGCTACTGTGGTGGGCGAACGGGGCATCAGCTTAAGTGGAGGACAAAAGGCGAGAATAAGTCTTGCCCGTGCTGTGTATCGAAAAGCAGATATATATTTATTCGATGATCCCCTTGCTGCGGTGGACTCACGAGTGGGCAAGCTGCTAATGGACAAGTGCTTCAATCGGTTCCTGGGAGACAAGCTGCGCATATTGGTTACGCATCATGTACAGTTGCTGCAGAATGTGGATCACTTGCTAATTATCGAGTCCGGACGCCTGACCCAGCAAGGTACTTATGCGGAGCTGCGAGACGTTATTGAGAAGCATGCAGCACCCGATTTGGATGCCGTTGAAGCAGACAAGCAACTGGTGAAACGAGTCCTTAGCCAAGTGGACAGAAACTCCAAACTATTCCAGGATCCTGCAGAGACGGTGGATGATCAATCTAATAAGGAGAGTGCCTTCTCAGAACGCCAGCAACAAGGAGCTGTTAGCTACGCTACTTACATGGATTACTTTCGCGCTCTTCGCTCACCCACCTTGGTTTGCCTGGTGCTTGCGCTCTTCATTGTCGCTCGAGCTTGCCAAGCTTTAATGGACATCTTCATTTCGCGCTGGGCTACCTGGGAGGAAAATCGAGAAACACCCGAGCAGTTCGAAGAGACTCGTGCTCGCATGGTTACGTGGTACGCGGTGCTCTTGGTGTGCACCTTGGCCCTCTACTTGTTGCGTACCTTTGGCTTCTTTCTGTTATGTTTACGTATTTCACTACGATTGCACAATTTGCTCTTCGATGGGATTATACGTGCTCGCATGTTCTTCTTTAATGCCAATCCCTCGGGTCGAGTACTGAATCGCTTCTCCAGTGATATTGAGAACGTGGATGTGGCCTTGCCGCAGGCTATGATGGACTCCTTGCAGGTAAATAACTGTAATAACTGTAACATACACATTTACTTACAATATAATTTACCATTTGCTACAGTTCTTTGTAGATGTGGTGGCTGTCTTGGTCATCGTGGCAATCGCCAACTATTGGCTCCTCATTCCAGCAGCTATCATGGCGGTCTTGATGTACTTTTGTCGTTCTTTCTACATAGGTGCCGGTCGCAGTCTGAAACGCATTGAAAGCTTAAGTAAGTAAAAGAGTAAATCATATTTCTGACTTACTGACATGCTTTGGCCTTTTTCATGCTCAGCTCGTAGTCCAGTTTACACGCATGCCAATCAAACGTTACAGGGCTTGACTACTATACGAGCATTGGATGCGATGCCGCAATTGGAGCACACTTTCCATGGCCATCAGAATACGAACTCGTCTGCGCTCTTTCTCTACACAAGCGCCAATCGTGCCTTTTCCTTTTGGACGGATCTCATTTGTGTCGTTTACATACTAGCTGTGACATTCAGCTTCCTGGTAATTAATGAGACTTTCTACAGTGGCGATGTTGGCCTGGCTATCACACAATCAATGACCCTGGTCATAATGTGTCAGTGGGGCATGAGGCAGACGGCGGAGCTGGAGAATAAGATGACCAGTGTGGAGCGCATATTGGAATATGCGAGGACCCCATCTGAGCCACCTTTGGAAACAGCAAAGGAGATAAATCTCGCATCTGAATGGCCAGAAAAGGGCCATTTACGCTTCTGTAATCTACGCATGAAATATGCTCCAGACGATATCGAAATTCTGAAAGGCTTGACCTTTGAGTCGCAGCCCATGGAGAAGATTGGCATTGTGGGACGTACGGGCGCTGGCAAATCTTCGATAATCCAAGCACTGTTCCGGCTTGCAATCAATGAGGGGCTTATCGAGATAGACGGTCAGGACATTGCCTTGTTGGGCTTGCATGATCTACGCAGTCGCATCTCAATCATACCACAGGAGTCAGTTCTCTTCTCCGGTACATTGCGATTCAATCTCGATCCGTTTGGTATGAAGAGTGATGAAGAGCTTTGGAACGCACTCGACGACGTGAAGCTGAAGAAATACGTGGCCAGCTTGGAGGGAGGCCTCTCATGCTATATGCAAGATGGCGGATCGAACTTCAGCATGGGCCAAAGGCAATTGGTTTGCTTAGCCCGAGCCATACTCCGCAATAATCGAATACTTATTATGGACGAGGCGACTGCTAATGTGGATGCAGAGTAAGTAATTATTGATAACCTGCAAATTTCGATGGGTCTTATTAGTTATTATTACAGCACTGACAAACTCATACAGGAAACAATTCATACCAAGTTTGCCCAGTGTACGGTGTTGACCATTGCTCATCGTCTTCACACAGTCATGGACAACGACAGTGTCCTGGTTGTAGATGCAGGAAAAATAATCGAATTCGGAGCACCACACAAGCTCTTGCAGCTGGAGAATAGTGCTCTATTAAAACTAGTTAATCAAAATGATAAACTCACAGTTAATCAACTCAAGAAAATTGCTGCAGATAGTTACATGCGGAAAAACAAATAAAGCCAAATTAGTTTTAGAAGAATTTTCTTTTCGGTAACGGTTGCTTTAACCACAGACTCCGATTGATTTCTGAAGCTCACATACCAAAGCAAGTCGATATGTAGTGCATAAATTCCAATTAGAATTAACAATTTAAAAATTATGTTTACATACTTTGCAGTCCATTGCAAGTCATATTTTCTATTGAATTTCAATTGCGAATAATCTATGAGGCTTATTTTGCTTAACTTTTGTTCACTCTCTAGAATTTGATCATGCGGTTTATTGGGCGAAAATCAGTGCCGATATTGACAGCCTGATCAGAGATGGACGTTGACAAGGAATTTACATTTTGCATTTAAGGGTTATCGATTAATAAAACAACAAGCTCATATACCAGAGCCGACTGCTATGAAATGTAAGCCAATCCAATCAACAGTTGTGATTTGAATTGTAGATTAATTAAAATTAGGTCAGATATTAATTTACTTTGTTTTCTGCTCCAGTGTACTTATCCAGTTCATCTGCTATCGAGCGAAGAGTCGCCGGAGCATTTAACCGTCTTTCAAGTCGCGCGACAATGATTACCGCTAAAATTGACCGCCCGCTGAGCAGTGGGCGTTGCCAAACAATTGAGTTGTGCCACAAACTACGTCATCACTTTTTTTTTTACTGGCAGAGGCAGGGATAGAGGCAGAGGCACTGGCAAGTGGCCACCACATGCTCGGTGGGTGGTTTTTGTAATTATGGACATGCGCCACCCATTCCGTCACATTTCAGTACATTAAGCGCTGAAAGCGTTCTAACTACACATAACAACAGCAAAAGCAAAAAACTGAGACTCACTCAAAAGCTGACTGGCACTTATGTGGACGGAAGCCGATGGGCGGAACTAGAGCGAGTCCAGACAGACAGGGATAGAGACAGAGACAGAGACAGACTTAGAGACGTGGGTCGGTGAGTCGGTCGATGGGTCGGTGGGCGTTGCAGAAAAAGAGGGTTCCCAAATTGCTAGCCAGGAGATGACAATGATGTGCTTTTTGTGTGCAGCAAGCATCTTTTTTATTATTCCCAGATTTTTTTTTATTTTTTGCTAACTCACCAAGTATTATATATACTAGTATATATCCATATATACAGACTGTACTTCCATCTCTTTCTCTTCCTGTATGTGGGTGTTGGCAGTTCCGAATGCTGTGGCATAAATTGTCCGTCGGTTTTTTAGTCGCCGTTGATTGCTTTTGCGCCCAGCTCGGCTCGGCTCGACTCGGCTCAGCGGGTAGCCGGTAAAAGTTGACTTGTCGACAGGAATATCAATTACTTGACTGAAACTCCAGGATCTTATCTGAGCAATTTTATCAATTATCTGACGCGTGCACGTGTCCTTCTTGGGACGGGCAGACCGCAGTGGATATAAACAACATTTTGAACAGGGCACGTAGATATATCGATGGTCGGCCTCGTAACTCATCTTAAACGATCACACTCTCTCGCTCTCTCGCTCTCTTCACTCTCTATCTCTCACTCCCCTCGCCGCGGGACCACACACCGTGCTCTAGCAACCCAACGAACCGGAGTACGTGCACACGACCAAATTTGCTTTATTATGCGGTCAGGATCAGGATGCGACCTCTGTGGCCAAGCGGAAGTGTTTGCCCAGTGATAAATGTCACAAAGATGGGCCACATACAAAGGTGGGCAGCTGATCAGATTTTATAATCCGCACGTTCTTCCATTGGCTAAGCCGTCTGGAACTAGGGTATTCACCTTGAAGCTCTTCCAAGCTTGCAGACTGGGTCACAATATAAAATATTTATATTTAATTAGCTTGCACGAAATTTTGGACAGTGTTTGATGAATGGCTTCCTTCGTGACAAAAACTCCCCAAATTGCAGCCGCCAGCTGTAAATCGATTTCAATATTTTCCAAACTTCATTGAGTCTTTATTTCCATTGATTATGATTGAATTGTTAATCTAGGCACATCCAGTCGGCTCTCTTTTTGTTTACTTTTTATAGTTATTACCTATATGAAATAGTTATCAAGGGTATAGCAGAATTTTAAAATGTCGGAATATGACTTTTATATTTAAATTCATCATAACTATTCAATCCGTATTAGGAATGATGATCGTATTCGGTGAAAATGCCAATAGTTTATTATCTATTTTTTATTTCTTAATATATTAATTTTAGTAACCAAAAAATATACATTTTGGATTTTTATGTATTGATAATAATAAATCACAATTTAATCCAAATGGTTTGTATTAATTGTGACTTAATTGATTTTTTGACTTTTAACTTCAACGTAACTGTAAATCTCTCTTTTTTTGCTCACTATCCCTTCCCCTTTTTCTTATACTCGTTATCGCTCCCTCTCTATCTTGCTTTGTTTCAGTAGGTGTCTTGCTCTTCCACTTTTCTAGATATATGGCTCTTTCTCTATCCTTATCTCTCTCTCACTCTCTGTCTCTCTCTCTCTCTCTCTCTCTCTCTCTCTCTCTCTCTCTCTCTCTCTCTCTCTGTCTCTCTCTACAGAGACAGAGAGATTCTCTATCTAGGTATTCATCTCTCTCATTTCCGTTTCTCTATTCTATCATGTTTAAAGGGTATCTTATAGTCAAGCTCTCATCCATTTCATCATTCCACTGTCGTTGTTCCCATTACAATGGCATCATGAATCGCATTTACTTTGAGTAATAATTAGATATTCAAATTGTTTGTGGAAATGTCAATTGTCGGTCACTTCGTTCGGGGGCGTTTAGCCTGAGTGAGTGTGGGCGTGGCATTGTTTAGGTGCAACAGCGGCAGGCAATAATGAACATGCATTGTAAATAATGTATTAAGACATTAAATCGCTCATTGAGGCAATTTACATTCATTATTATATTACGAGCTCAGCGTACGTGCCCATAAGCCATGGGAATCGGAGAAGGGCTCGACGAGAGCGGGAGTCGGAGAGGCCGACAGAGACGGTGGCGAGACATGCCCGAATACGTTCCCAATCTCATATTTGTTGGGAAATTAATAAAATCATAAAAACGTAATTAATTAATTCACAAGACAGCAGAAAAAAAAATGAAAAGAAAAGAATAAAGAAAAAATGCATTGCCGCCACAGTCTGTGGATGGGCTGCGGGTCTTGGGTGCTCCTCTGATTAGCGATTCAGGTGCGTGAGTGCATTTTTTTCGGTTTTCAAGAGAATTTCTTCAGCGGCGACCGTGACAGACCCTAGCAAACGAGTCTTCGGCTGCCCCCTTTCCGCCTCTACCCCGTGTCTCCTACGGCATGAATTAGCGACTGACAGTCCGATTGACAGATACAAACTAAAGTGGGCAGCAAATGCGATCGTCAGGGCGGCCTCTACAATTGCAATTGCTACTGCTGATTGTTGGTTACTGCCCACCGCACCAGTGCTGGCACTGTAGCCATTTCTGGACAGATCTAGCCGTTATTTAAGAACTCTTATGGTTGTTGCAATCTCGGCTGGTTCCAGCTTACTGGCCGTCAGTGGTGCTAACTTATTGAGCAGTAATTGCTCTGTCAAATACATCAACTAATAGGTTGTTAATAAGCTGCTCTCAGTTAGGGACTCTGGCAACTGGCAATGAAACTGCAAACAAAAACTTGGGTTTTAAAAATTTGCCACATGTTTCGAATTTCAAAGTCTACCAATTCTCTGCCGCTGCCTCTGCTCAAACAAAAAAGGCCACAGGCAAATGGAGGGCGTGTCCACGCCTTATGACAAATTATGACAGCGAGCATTTCGCATTTGATTTATGACCCCCGTTGCATTCAACTATGACCCCCTTTACTTTCCACGCGGCAGCTATGCCAACAGATTTCCTGTTGCCGACTTTGCCAAAATGTTGCTGCCTAATAGTTTCTGCGGATATATTTTGAAATCGTGGCCATACGGACTTTCTAGGCTAACTGGTTAACTTGGCTGGCGATAAGTATACTTAGATGTACTATCAGATGTAGCGAGACTGAAGTTAATTTAAAATCAGTTAACTCTTAGATAGATCTTGTATATTCAGATAATTGTCAGTTAACCCTCAGGCCATTGCTTATATCATATTCGAAATAAGTCCTTTAATAGAGCGTTAAGTCAAAATGTGTAGAGCATAAAAAATGCGCTGTGTGAGAGCACGGATTTTTCTTTCGTTCGGGGTTACTTTTACATAATTTGTAATGATTTGTAAGTGATTTTTAACGTGGTGCATTATGGCTGTTTAACTGTTTAAAGCGACACCAATCCGGACGTAATTAATGGCGAAATAATTTACAACCAAAGCTTTACAGCTGCAGATCCGGCCAGACAGACACATAATATACCAAAGAGGCTACACTGAACTTTTATCATGGTTCAATGAAAAACCTTTATTGCTAATATAAACACAAATAGCAAATGTTGGTATCTTCTATCTCTTTTACCTTGAATATTTCTTTGATTTTTTCACTATAGCTCACTCTGTAGTCACCGCAGCCAAACAAAACACTTCCACTCGGCATCAGCATCGTTAGCAGCCAGTGATAGTTTGTTCATTTGCCTCAATTTCAGATTTCGAATACCCCTAAAGAGCAGGAAAAGAGCAGTAGCAGTAGCTGTATTCTCGCAGCCGGCACCCAAAAATTCCCTGTCTAAATGTTACAATAATAAAAACTCATGCTTGGAGGCGTGTCCCAACATAAAACTGCAAAACGAAACGAGCAGCGAGCAGTGAGCTGCCGAGCATCGGTACGACAGAAGCATACAACAATACAATAATACCAGAAGGGTGCCTGGCCATAGAGCTTCCCATTTACAGGGTGGTTAGAGCCACACATACACGATACTCGCTTATGAAGAAAACAAAGTGAGCATATTGAGTTCCGCCAGAGATTTTAAATTCGCTTCATATAATCATTCTTTTTACGTGTTCTGCTCGGGTATGATTTCATGGGGCTATACGAATCGAGATATCCGCTATTTTCCAGGATCTTACAGTTAGGATCATATTTGACACAGATATAACTGCGAACTGTAATTATGAAAGAGTATTATATAGTCGTGCGCACTCGTCACCAATATGCTGTTTTTTTTTTTGGTTACTCTACAAACAAAAGTCAATTGTCGCAGCCAATAAGTCGCTAATGCAATTAACAATTCACACACACACACAGAGAGAGAAGCTGAAGGCTGAGGGCGAGGGCTCAGGGCTGAGCATTACAAAACTAATAACTCACCATGTGTGAGCCCTCCTATCCCTCGCTCACTGTGAAGAGGCGTGACACGTGAGACACCTGGAGTGATTGTTTGATATGGCCGTGAGGAGTAGTCGCTATCAAATCTCACACAAACTCACTCTTTCTTTCTCTCTCTCTCTCACACTCTCAGTCTCTCTGTATTTGCGACAATTTGGTGCGTTAAATTACAAAAATTAGTCACACGATGAACTGGGAAAAGGCTCAACAACGTTTTGCCTTCGGGGCCTGCCGTGTTAAATCGCACAAATTGGCAGTTTAATTGTTCCAATTGACACCAAATTTTGTTTTGGCCCTTAAGTGGCCCAGAATAAATGGGCAACTGGGAACTGATTTTGTCAGCTTGGAGGCGTGCACCGATAGCTAGGAATTTATTGCACTGGCTACCAGTGAATTATTAGTAGCATTTAGGCCCTTAAGCAGTTCAACTAGATAATTTAACAAGCACTGTTCATCACTCGAATCAGCACCACACACACAAGTACATGTACGTACTACGTAGTCGCATAATAGCGTGTGTGCATGTGTGTGCTTTGTTGATTTGAAAAAGTTCTCATTGAACGCGACCCGCTGTGATACCTAACCCAAAAAATAGCCATGAGAAAATGATATATTCTATGTGTACACATATGTGTGTGTGCAATGGTAGACGCTTTTAAAATGTGCAATAGTGCTATCATAGAAGGGAAGAATTAGAAAGCTCAGTTGCGAGACTTTTTAAAAGAGAGGCTATCTCGCTCAACAGCACTAGGCTTAAGGCTGCATTGCTCCTCTCTTAAATGCATACAAACACATACACTTGAAAGTGCTGTTGCGAGACTTACCAAGAGAGAGAAAGAGGCTGTCTCGCTCGATCGCACTATGCTTAAAGCTGCATTGAAGGAAAGAATTAGGCAATGTGCTTAAGTGCATATTGAGAGTAATAGACCATCTCGCTCACCCACACTAGGCATGAGGAGGGTCAGCTCTCATTGCTCGATGAGAGCTTTGAGAGAATAAGGAAGTCATTAGGAGTGAGGTCATATTAATTAATTATGCGGAGATCATGTTGTTCAGTTCGTAATGCCTGAGTAATGTTGTCAAACTATTGAAGAAGTGACTAGCGAATGAAATAAATTCTAGAGTTTCACTTGAATTAAATTGTGTGTTTATTTACAAAAGTTTGTCTCTACACTTAAGCCAAATTCTAGGGGGAGGGGCATATGTTATGTACATCAATCAATGTTAACGAATATGTTATTCAGCTCTATGGCTCCTTCAGTAAATACTGCGCGCTAGGGCTAACGAGGCAGCAGCAGGCCCAATCGGTGGCATGCCCACACCCATGGTCACGCCCACTCCGACGCCGACAGTTGAGGCAGAGCCGACAGCGCTGGCATTAAACTTTTCGAAGCCGCTGATCGCTTCCGTTGGCAGTTTCTTACGCAGATCCGGTTTGGGCCCGCTTAGGCACATTTTCTCCAGCTGCTGGTGCTGCGAGCGCACCGCAAAGCGATTCACATGCACTGGTATGGGCACCACAATTTTGGTGCCACTCGAACCACCATTTCGACCCAAGCCGTGCGACGTGAGTCCGGCCTTAACGCGTTTCCATTTGGCGCGACGATTTTGAAACCAGATTTTAACCTAGACCAAAATAAGGTGGGAGAAGCAGAATAGACACATGGAGAGTTAATATAACGTATGATACCGACAAGAGAGGAGGGACCGGAAAATTGAAATGAAAAAATTGACATTCTTCAATTTTGTATAATGGGATAATTTACTGTTTATAGTTGATCTGTCAACACACCTGAACTTCACTCAATTTCAGACTTGTGGCTATTTGACTGCGCTCCGTTAGGCTAAGATACTTTTTAGCATGGAATTCGCGTTCCAGCTCGAGCAACTGCTCTGACGTGAAGGCTGTTCGTCGCCGGCGAGACTTG